AATCTCCTTAATAGAAGAATATGAAACTCAAAAATTATTTAAAGAAGAAAATAAAAATTTGCTCCTATACTCCATATGAAAATGCCTGCAATGGAATACCGAATATCAAAACCATGTTTATTATGCTAAAAATCTAAACTGATGATAGAAATGTTGAAAGTTTATATATTTTTTAAATGCACAAGTACACGATGTTGCGGAATGATATTGTGTTGTTATATGATGTATGTCCGTTCAGTAGATGTTTAACACCTCAACACATCATATTTTCTACCAAAATGGGAAGATGCTAAGGTATAATGTGTTGGTGTGCCAAAAATATATTTTATCGTCTTCTCATTTGCATTAATGATGTGTCGAATTGTCAATAATGTATTATTACAAAAACAATCTAAGGGAACAAGAAATTGAGGATATTAGATTTGAGCTCAATTGATACAAATGCTTAAATACACCAATTTGGGGATAATTACTAATTTCGAGAAGTTACTCGAATTGTTGTTGAAGTTTTGATTAGTTATGCTAATGATTTCTCAATTTTTTTTCTTACAATAAAAGTCACTCGAGTTTTTAAAGTCGCACTAATGATCACTTGGTTAAAAAGCATTAAAGTTCCCACTCAGTGATACTAAGTGCTAGCGTGTCACCATATGTCGTTAGTTATTATACCAATTCAACAAAAAATCTAGAATTAGGAATTATAGATTTGATACGTTCAAATGAAAAATTGGTTATATTTTTGGACTTAAATCTTATGGTGAACCCATTCTTATTAACAACGTTTTTTGTTGAATTGACGTAATTTATAACACTGTTAGGTGACACGTTAAAGAGTGATTATTTGAATTATATTTATAAATAAGATTAACTATTACAATTCAAATATCATTGTCATAATTACTCAAAACATCAGTTATTATTGTTATTGATTGCGTCCGATCTTAAAAGGCCTCTTCAGGACATAGTGTGAGCTCACTTCAAAGTGATTAAACAAGATTAATCACAAGAAATTCATGCACAAGATGTAAAGTCTAACCATATGGCTCAACTAGTTAGAACGGCTAAAGTTGTTGTCATTTAAAAACTTCATTATGAGCAAATTTGTGGAATGTTCCCCGAAATAGGAAGATATTTCTCTTAATGTTGACATTGTCCCATCACATTGCCTAGGTTGTAGATAACATTACTTAGGCCTCAAGCTACGACCTAAGTGTAATGACGGTTTGACCTCCTAAACCAATAAGATTTAGCCCTTTTGTGATAGTCATTATTGAGGGAAAAATGATTTGAGATTTTTTGAAGAATATATAATTAAAAGGTAGGGAAAATTGTAATATTTACGCGCAAAATATATTATTGTGTGAATGTATAGTTGAAAATGAGTATTAGAATTAAAGAATTTTATTTTAAAGAGAGAAAAATATGAGGCTTATTGGAATAAAACAGTGGCACATATCTTGAGGAAGGAAAGTGTAGCTTGATAAGTTAAAGAATGACAAGCTCCTACCAAGCAATGATCCAATTAAAGGCTCGAACTACGTGTCTATTCTACATTACAACAACAACTAAACATTATTATTAGACTATTTTTTTAATTATTTTTTTATTTTTACATTAATCTGAAATTATCACACATCAACATGCATGATTAACCCCCACTAATTTGCTAAAATTTGTCTTCTTTAATATATTTTACCCCTGTTTGAGACTCATTTTTTCAAATCTTATTTTCAACCACACGTTCTCTTATAAAATAATTATATACGTATTTCAAAAATTTTCCCTATTTTTTAGAGGATGTTTGAGCTCCATTTAAAAAAAAAAAAAAAGTATTTTAGAATAGTAGATTAATGAAAAATATGTGGTTGAAAAATAAGGATTTTTTTTATTTACGTATAATATTATTTTACTAAAAAATGTTGTTGAAAAGAAGAGAGAAAAAAATGTATTTTGAAAAAAAGGGGAATCAAATAAAGTCTTAATAGATTTTAATAAAAATTGATGAAATATGTGATTAAAAAGTTGTGAAACCCTTTAAATATGTGATTAAAATTTATTGTTGATTTTGACTTATATTAAAATTTGAATTTTAATACTCACCGAACAGGGACTTAGTGTCATTATGGCCACTAAATTTCATTTTATTTCACCATAGCTACTTAATTGTATAACGTTTCACTATGGCCATCCGATGTTTCATAATGTTTTACTATGGTTACCCAACCTTTTTTCCCACAATTTTCACTAATTTTAAAAGAGGTAAAATAGTAACTTTACATTATATATTAAAACTAAATTTAAAAAATAAAAAATAAAAACTTATTTTAAAACAAAAACTTTTATTTTATATATATATATATACACCGAGCAGGGATTTAGTGTCACTATGATCAAATTATTTGTTCCTCTGCAACTTGGCGGATAAATACACGCTCTCTTTTTCTCTCTACAACAAGGGGGGAGAGAGAGAGCGAGAGCGAGAGAGAGAGAGAGAGATATAAATTTTTTGTAATGTTTTACTATAGTCAACCAATTTTTTTTTTTTTTTTTTTAACAATTTTCATTAATTTTGAAAGGGGTAAAATGATAAGTTTATATTATGTATAAAAGCTAAATTAAAAAAAGAAAATAAAAACTTATTTAAAAAAGTTACTTAAGAAAATAAAATAAAATAAAAACTTTTTTTAAAAAAAATTTACTTAAAAAATAAAATAAAAACTTATTTAAAAAAAAGGCTACTTAGAAAAATAAAATAAAATAAAAAATTATTTTAAAATAAAAAACTTTTATTTTTATTTAAAATTTACTTTATATATATTACAAAATTATTGTTCTACCCCTTTTTAAATTAATGAAAATTGTGAAATGAAATTGAGTGGTTATGGTGAAATTTTATAAGAAATTGGGTTGCAATGATAAAATAAATCAAATTGAAAAGTTATGGTGATACTAATTATAAAGTTGAATGATCTTAATAAAATAAAATAAAATTTAATGATTATAGTGACACTAAATATAAAGTTAAGCCCCCTGTTTGAGTCCCATTATTTCTTATTATATTAAATTAAATTTTTCTCTCTCCTACTTTTAACCACACAATTTTTAATAAAATAATATTACAGGTAAATCAAAAACTTTTCAACCACCAATTTTTCAAAAAAATATTATTCATCTCATTATAATCTACAAATAATTGGGCTCAAACGACCCCTAAGTGATCAGTAAATAATAATTTATTCCCCCTGGTTGATAGTGCGGTCAACCGGGAGACAACCCAACAAGCGCAGACGTTGTTCAGACCGGACACGACCCGAATTCACACTCGTTCTGACATCTAAAACGCTGTCGTGTTGCCATCTCAAACCTCCGAACGACACCGTTTAACAACCATTTTCTGCATCAACAGTTACGGAGGCATTTGTTCCTCTGCAACTTGGCGGATAAATACACGCTCTCTTTTTCTCTCTACAACAAGGGGGGAGAGAGAGAGCGAGAGAGAGAGAGAGAGAGAGAGAGAGATAGTGCTGTCGGGTTCTGTCCCCCCAGCCATCGGCTCTTTCTGGTAGGCTCCGATTCTCTCATTTTCATCATTTTATCTGATTTCTTGATCTCACTTTTTTTACCCTAGCATCTCCTATTACGTTTATTTATTTTTATTTTTATTTTTGCGGAAAAAAAATAATTTTGAGCTTTCGATCTTTAGTATATGTCTTGTATTTTTGTTGTAATTTCTGATCTTTGTTGTTTAAGCTTACGATTTTTCGGAATAGTTTATGTACATTTTGTCTCCTTTTAGTAGATCGTGGACAAATCTGCACTTTAGGAACATTTAAAGGTTACAAGAGGAAATAACATAGCTTTCAAGTGTTGTACAATGACGTTGGCTGGTTCTATTAGCTTTTGTGTGTATGGCGGGCCGGCTTTGAATTTTTTTTTGTTAAAATTGCATATGGTTAAAAGTAATGAATGTGTATGAGATACTTTTACGGATTAAATATAAATTTTGCATATTTTAGGTTTCTGATAGTAGGTTAGGTTCGTGAATTAGTTCTACGAGCTCAAAGAATTCCCATGATTTGAAAGTGTAGCTTGATAAGTTAAAGAATGACAAGCTCCTACCAAGCAATGATCCAATTAAAGGCTCGAACTACGTCAACAACAACTAAACATTATTATTAGACTATTTTTTTAATTATTTTTTTATTTTTACATTAATCTGAAATTATCACACATCAACATGCATGATTAACCCCCACTAATTTGCTAAAATTTGTCTTCTTTAATATATTTTACCCCTGTTTGAGACTCATTTTTTCAAATCTTATTTTCAACCACACGTTCTCTTATAAAATAATTATATACGTATTTCAAAAATTTTCCCTATTTTTTAGAGGATGTTTGAGCTCCATTTTAAAAAAAAAAAAGTATTTTAGAATAGTAGATTAATGAAAAATATGTGGTTGAAAAATAAGGATTTTTTTTATTTACGTATAATATTATTTTACTGAAAAATGTTGTTGAAAAGAAGAGAGAGAAAAATGTATTTTGAAAAAAAGGGGAATCAAATAAAGTCTTAATAGATTTTAATAAAAATTGATGAAATATGTGATTAAAAAGTTGTGAAACCCTTTAAATGTGTGATTAAAATTTATTGTTGATTTTGACTTATATTAAAATTTGAATTTTAATACTCACCGAACAGGGACTTAGTGTCATTATGGCCACTAAATTTCATTTTATTTCACCATAGCTACTTAATTGTATAACGTTTCACTATGGCCATCCGATGTTTCATAATGTTTTACTATGGTTACCCAACCTTTTTTCCCACAATTTTCACTAATTTTAAAAGAGGTAAAATAGTAACTTTACATTATATATTAAAACTAAATTTAAAAAATAAAAAATAAAAACTTATTTTAAAACAAAAACTTTTATTTTATATATATATATATACACCGAGCAGGGATTTAGTGTCACTATGATCAAATTATTTGTTCCTCTGCAACTTGGCGGATAAATACACGCTCTCTTTTTCTCTCTACAACAAGGGGGGAGAGAGAGAGCGAGAGCGAGAGAGAGAGAGAGAGATATAGTGCTGTCGGGTTCTGTCCCCCCAGCCATCGGCTCTTTCTGGTAGGCTCCGATTCTCTCATTTTCATCATTTTATCTGATTTCTTGATCTCACTTTTTTCACCCTAGCATCTCCTATTACGTTTATTTATTTTTATTTTTATTTTTGCGGAAAAAAATTAATTTTGAGCTTTCGATCTTTAGTATATGTCTTGTATTTTTGTTGTAATTTCTGATCTTTGTTGTTTAAGCTTACGATTTTTCGGAATAGGGGGGGGGGGGGGCTGGAGCTAAAGATTGACTGAATGTTATGAAAGAGCATGGTATAGTTAATTGTCAAGTTGTGTTTAATTGTTGATATACTTCATCCTTACCGCACATTTAAGCTGAGTGTCCATATGGTCTTGCTTGATGAACAATCTGAGTATGTGTCTTTAGCTTCAATTATGTGCAACGAGCATGGTATAGTTAATTGTCAAGTTGTGTTTAATTGTTGATATACTTCATCCTTACCGCACATTTAAGCTGAGTGTCCATATGGTCTTGCTTGATGAACAATCTGAGTATGTGTCTTTAGCTTCAATTATGTGCAACGAGCATGGTATAGTTAATTGTCAAGTTGTGTTTAATTGTTGATATACTTCATCCTTACCGCACATTTAAGCTGAGTGTCCATGTGGTCTTGCTTGATGAACAATCTCAGTACATGTCTTTAGCTTCAATTATGTGCAACGAGCATAAGGAACTGTATTGCAGTCTTTTCTCTTCTTTAGAAATTAATCATGATGCTTTATCTGAGTGGTATGGCTGAAAGTGGGCTTTTGAGGATCACGAAAGTTTTGCTGGACATCCCATTGATTATATACATCAGTGGGAGTAATGCTCAAAAGAATTAATTGGACACCTTGAGAAGTGAAATTCGTGTCATACAACCTACTAAAATTTATGGCAAGAAATAGAACCTGAATGGAGTTTCTCATGGAACACTATATTGAGAAAATAAGCATTTTCTTTTGCTTTTGTGATATAGATCTTGAATATTTGCTAATTCATATTTCAAAACCGCCAAATGCTACCTGCATAGGATAAAACTTTTGATACGAGGACATAACTTATTGGAAACAGTTTTATGTTGACTGGAAAGAGGCTCAATTCTGCCAGCCACACGAATATATGACCCTCATTTCATGTGTCCTTAGGCGTCCCAAGTGAACAACTGAAGAAAACATTTTGTGGGCCTGGACCAAATCAAAGAAATAGGGATTGTGACTTTGTTGGACATTGTAAAGCTGCAAACAGGTACAATCTTTTGTCATCTCAAATGCATATAATATTCTGTCGTCTTTGTAATAAAATTAGATTATTGGATAACGTTGGGGTGGAATGGACTTACTTAATATTCTAATGAAAGGAGGAACAAATAGTATTTTAAATAGAGAAACAGAGACGTGGAGAGAAGAGAAACTGACTTTTGGTATCACAGCTGCTGCTTTGATTCCTTTCTAATGAATAAATCCTCTTTTCTTGTCTAATTTCTGAATAGGATATGTGTAGGTAATATACACGTGATATGGTCCATGCAGGCCTAATGAGTAAATTATCTTTTCTTGTCTAATTTCTGAATAGGATATTAAAACATGGTATTTTGTTTGTGTGTGATATGGTCTATGCGGGAATAACATTTTCCCTTTTTTAATATAAATTTTACGTTTGATGAAAGTTGTGTTCTTTGGTTTTTATCCAACTTGTTCTGGTATGTGCATAGTTTTAATTAAAGTCCGTTGAGATTTTTTTTTTTTTTTTTGGCTGTTTCCTTCTCTATTTGATTTATGAGATGTTTTCACTTGTGCAGGAACAACGATAAAGAATGGATTTCTAGCTTTAGTTTTATTACTAATGATGGTATGATGTTGCTTCTTTTAATAATAATCATACATTAGATCTCTGAAGGTGAAAAGAGGAGAGACTTATATGAACAGGGTTTATTCTGCGTTGTTTATTGAACTTGAGTGTTTATTTTCCCTCGCATGCTTAGACAACAATTAGCTGGATCTAATGAGGTGCTTTAATTAATGAAGGACCACAATCACTTGACAATAAAGACCTTTATGGCTATCACAGCTGAGAGGGATGCCGCCATTCGAGAAAGGAACATGGCATTGGAGGAGAGAAAGAGGGCCTTTGCAGAGCGAGACATGGCAATGCTGCAGCGTGATGCAGCAATTGCCGAGCGTAGTGCTGCTATACAAGATCGAGATGAGGCTATTGCAGCCTTTCAATTCAGGGAGAGTTCAATGAATGACAACACTCTCGCTGATTCACTTGGAAATGAAATTACAAGTGGATCAAAACACATTCACTACCAGCAGCAGATGCACATGGCTGAAGCTGCGTATATTTCTGGGGGAGTTGCAAAAATTAATGATTTTAACGTTACAGAAACTGCTTCTGAAACTGCTAAGCGTAGGAAAGTGAGGCAACCAAAAGATGGAAAACTAGCAAAATCAGCAAAGCCTCTGAGGGTGGGAAAAAGAGGGGCCGAAAATTTGAGTAAGCAGGTAAACTCGGATGCATCTAACAGTTGGAGTAATGAGCATGATTTTGATTGTGATGAGGACGATCTGGACAAACAAGTTTCGTGGAAGGATAATTTGGGTTTGAACCAAATTAACTTTGATGAGTCTGCCATGCCAGTGCCAGTTTGCTCTTGCACTGGTTCACCTCAGCCATGTTATAGGTGGGGGAGTGGTGGATGGCAGTCTGCATGCTGTACTACCACAATTTCAATGTATCCATTACCTCAGGTGGCAAATAAACGCTACACCAGAGTTGGTGGTAGAAAGATGAGTGGAAGTGCTTTTGGCAAGCTGCTAAATCGACTTGCTACAGATGGTTACGATTTTTCCACTCCTCTCGATCTCAAAGATCACTGGGCTAAGCATGGGACGAATCGGTACAGCACCCTAAAATAAGCTGCTGCTTATAAGCATCTTGGACTGGATGGTGGATAAAGAAAATATTCTTGCCAAAGGATTGACCAAGGTAGTTCATACAACTTGGCACCTTGACAGGTTATATCAATCCATCGTAGTAGCTGAATTGGATTTTAAGTATTGAAATTATACCAATTTGATGCAGAAAGGAGCGACTTTGTTTCAAATGTAAGATTTTGTCAAAATTCAGATGATATGGGTTTAAACAATATTTACACTTGTACAACTTAATTAGTTGACCTAATCACATACTTTCTACTCTTACAAAACCTGAAAGGGCCCCTCACTGACAATAAAAAAGGATCTAAACTAATAGCAACTGGCCAATCCATTTAATACGATTGAACAGCCATCTCTTTATATACATCTAACCCCTATTTCACCTTTCATAGGCCATAGAGCATCTCTCATAAAAGCCTGGTTTTTTTCAAAAACTGTAGACTTATAACGGTACGAGATCCTCTTAAAATAGTGGGGTGTCACCGGCAATGCGTACGTAGATAGTGCATGATTGTTATCAATTCGTGTCTGAAGTATTAAGTCCTACAATGACCATGACCGTCAAATTTGATTGAGAGTCAATTAACCACAAAAATACTAGATTTGTTATTTCTTCGAAAACTGAAAATCCATATTCAAGATAACCGACTAAATCCCATGAAACATTTACACAAAAGTTTGTTGATATCTTTAAATTCACTTCGATTCTTTATTAATTCACACATAAAACCTTTACACGAGTTTGTTGATATCCTTCAATCCAGACTAAATCCCATGAAACCTTTACACATAACTTTGTTGACATCTTTAAATCCACTTCGATTCTTTAATAATTCACATCACTTTTGCTTCTATTGTAACACTTCCCCCAAGTTAAAAGGCCTTTGATGTCCCCTCTAACAATAATTGGCGCCTCACAATCACCAAGCTCTCCTAAAAATTGGTCCTAGAGTTAACTAACCAAAATAATTAAAGAGGAGCTCTTGTCAACCATCTCCACGAGTCCACTCATATCTACTTGAGTAGCTACTATGAATCTCTCCCATGAGTCCACTCTCATTAGATTATTTAGAGTACTCGTAGCTAAGGGTCTTAAAACTTTTGAGCATCCATATAAAATGGATAACGCTTGGTTGCACTATATAGCCCAAACAAGGCAACAAAAGTTTACAATAGTTCAACCAATACAAGATAAAATCACAAGAACTTGTCTTCTCGAAGAGGAAACTACAGATCCACTCAAAAATCACAGAAGAACCCTCAAAACATAATTTTAAACAGCATAAGAACCCTAATATTCTCACTAGTTTCCACTGAAAATACAAGCATCAGAGGAAGTAAATATTTGGTCTCAATCTTGAATTAGATTTTCAAGAGAGGAGATGAGTTAGAATGAAACCCTAACTAGAATGAGAGTAAAATTCTCTCTCAAAAAAACCTAAAAGCTAGAATCATCTGCTAAGTGAGACAACAAAAACAAATAAAGCCTTAGAAGCATCCGAAAGCAATTCAAATGACCACGGTAGTGCTAGGTGTCAAAATCTTGTACAAAAAGCCTCCATCGACAAAGTTGCATTCTCAAAATGCGACTTTAAGTCAAATTTTGGGAGCATACATGCACAACACAATTCCAACAATCTCCACCTTACTACCAAGAATTTGGACATAATAGTGCAACCGAGAGCATCACCAACAGTTGCATATTTTACTTGGTCAATGTACTTGTACATTTAACACAATATCAACGTATAATAATCTCAAGCAATTTTGAAATTTGCTTAAAGGTACTTTAATCGCCATATCAGAAGAATTAAATTGTGTAGCAATTTGCCAATTTTAAGTATCTCTTTCAAAATGATGTCTCCTATGAAATGATACTTATTATCAATTTGTTTAGTTTTGTCATGAAACATGTGATTTTTACTCAAATGTATTGCACTTTGGTTATAAGAAGAAATGCATTTTCATCAACAAAATAAGTTCACCAAGCCAAGCACTTAACTAGAAATATTCTTTAATGGTATCAGTGGCAAAAATGTATTCTACCTCTGTTGAAGATAGAGCCACAACTTCTTGAAGATGTGATTTCCAAGTACCACAGAGAGTATAAAAATATGATGAAGCTGACCTCCTAATATTTCTATTTCTAGTAAAATTAGAATCAGTATAGCCCTTTAAAATTATCTCATCTTTGTTCATTTTAAACACAAGTCCTAATTCAGAAATTCCTTTAAGATATTTTAATAGCCATTTTAATGCATCCCAATGTTCTTTCCCATGATTACTCATAAATTTGCTAAGTACACTAATGCTATGCGTAAGATCAGGTCTCATACATATCATCAAATACGTCATGCATCCAATAACATTTGCGTAAGAAATTTTAGACATTCTATTATATTCTTTCTCAATTTTAGGACAACAATCAGAGGAAAGCTAAAATGATTTGCCAAGGGTAAATTTACCAGTTTACAATTAAACATGCTAAACTTTTTCAGAGCTTTATTCACATAATTATATTAATTTTAAAATAGTAGATTACTACTTTTATCTTTTATTAGCACACCTAAAATTTTCTTGGTTGAGCCAAGATCGTTCATTTCAAATTTAGTTTTGAGTTTTGTTTTTTGTTTTTTTTCTACAATCTTAGATTTATCAACTGGCTAGAAGTATATCATCTACATAAAGTATCAAATATAAAGAAATTTTACCTCGATTTGCTTTACAATGAAGATAGTTATCATAATTGCTTCTTTGAAAACCATGCTTCAAGACAAAAGAGTCAATCTTTTATATCTCTGTCTTGGAGTTTATTTCAAATCATATGAACAAAATTTTAATAAACAAATAGTATACTCAGGATCAACTTCAACAAAACCGAAAGGCCGCTTCATGTAAATCAATTGATCTAATTCACCATACAAGAATGCAATTTTTACTTGTAACTGATCAAGTTCCACTTAAATTAGGCAATAAGTGTGAGAATACATCTAATAATAGTATATTTCGCTACAGAGGAAAAAATCTCATTGTAGTCAAAACCTTCCATTTATGTAAAATATTTGGTAACTAGTCTAACTTTGTATCTAACATTATTATTTCCTCTCCCCCTTCTTTTATTTTATAGATCCATTTGTAGTCTTATCAGTTTTCTTAACCAATTCTTAGGTTTTTTTTTTCTTTCTTTTTTTGAAAAAAAAAGAAGCATTTTCTTCTTCCATGGCAGCTAACCATTCTTAGAATCTTTACATTTTATAGCATTATCATAGCAATTTGGTTAATTTTCAGCTGCTTCTTGATAAGTGAATAGTGAAACAAAATCATCACTATCAGACCGATAGAGGTTTGATCTATCTTCTCTGCCTTTCTCTTATGAGGGTACTCATCAAGAGACAAAGTTACAAGACTAGACTAGTCATGTCGATCAATTTCCCGATCTACTTCAATTTCCTTTAAGGATACATCATTAGTATGAATATATTTCCCCATCCATAGATATATTATTAATTCTTAAAAGGAGAGCAAACTCTACCTCAATTTGAACATTCCTTTCAGTCTTTCCTTCTAAACATGCCATAAGAAATTTAGTAAAAATAATGTTCTTTCTTATTATGACCTTAAAACCCCTCTCTTTTTTAACCCACAACTTGTACCCTTTACAAACACTCCATAACCCAATAAAACAAATTTAATTGATCTAGTCTTTGTCGTTGAAGCTCACTCCAAGGATCGTCAAAACGGTGTTTTTCAGGCTCAGTTTCACATTACTTTTTCTCTACTAAACAACCGATCCAAACAGCTCCAATCCACAACTAATATATTCACCTCAGTTGCCTCTCAATCTCACCCATAAAAGACAAGATGACGGTGATGATTTGTAGACCACAAAAAGCAAGGAGAAAATACCACAAAAGGAGGCAAGAAAGACACAACAAAGTGAAAGGGAAGTCAACGATTTTTGGACGTGAAGACCAGCTGGATTTTCACTTCTATTGCAGCCACGTTTTCCTCCTCTCAAACACACAAATCACACACAATGGCTAGGGTAAAATATATAGATAGACTAGGTTAGGCTTTAGTCGAACTAATAATAACGTTAAATGGGCCAAGATTCAAAGCCATTTAAGAGGTAATATAATGGACCGGGTTAAGCCTTTGGACTTGATTGTTGATAATTATTTCACTCATTGGTCGGGATCTATGAAATATATTCCCACATTTAACATCATAGTCCAGGATTTATTGAATATCAAAATCCAATAGTTTTTAAGTTTCCTATATTTTGATGAGCATATGTTGCTCAACCAAATATTTTCAAATAAGAGTAGTCAACGAGCTTTTGTGTCTACACAGATTCGGGCACATGAAAATTTAAAGCATTAATAGGACACTGATTAACAGAATGTGTATCAGTTTTAGCAGCTTCTTCCCAAAATAATTTGGGTACACCAGAACTTAAAAGCATATATCTTACTCTATTCAATAAAGTTCTATTCATTCTTTTAGCAATGCTATTTTGTTGAGACTCATAGGTTATAGTTCTATACCTCAAAATGCTATGTGGTTTATAGAAATTAGTGAATTCATAATTGTAAAATTCTAGACCATTATCCGTCTTTAAGGTTTTTATTTAAGATCAGTTTGGTTTTAAATTCTACTTTTTCAATCTTTTAAAATATTTTGTTTTTAATAGAAACACCCAAGTTTTTCTAGAAAAATTATCAATGATCATCAACAGATAATATTTATAACCAGACAGAAGATTGGTCACGAATGCAGGATCACAAAAGTCAGCATGCAAGTATTCTAGGATTTGCTTAGACTGAAGAATTTCAGAAGGAAAAAAAAAGTCGCTTACCAGTCACACATTTTTCACAAGGAAATTCACCAATGTTAACTTTTACAAGAACTCCTTTATTTAATAAAGACTTTAAACTCTTCTTACTAATGTGACCAAGTCTATCATGCTGTTCATGAAAATATCTTTTGATTTAAACCACCACAAGTGTACGGCTCGTCAACACTTAATAACGTGGGTGTGACTCCAAGTATCATCCCACAAGGATTGATTTAGTTCAATTTTAATTAATTACGACAACCTTATCTGAAACAAGAATGATAAGAATGCATTTGTTATGATGAAATTATAACTAAAATAAACTATGTATGTAATTATAAATGAACTAACTAAATTAAATGCAAGTTGTGTTTAAATGCAAGTTAATGTCTTTAATGAA